ACCCTTACTCCAGTCCCACAAGAAATGGGATTTTTCCCCAGAATTTTAACTCTCATTGCAGCAAATGGACCAAATCTCAGACAAAGGAAAAATGATAGGATAGGGAATCATGCCCATAGAAAGTAAGAATGGCTAAGACTTCCCAAAAGACATCCAGCCAATCATTAGGTGAAATAATAAGGGACTGCCTTTTTCCCACCTATGTCACAAGTAAAGGCACATAATGAAAAATTGGCCAGGCATCACTAACTGCAATGTATCTTTACAGTTCACAAACGAATACATTAGCCACTTCTAGTGCGTATCTACCAACAGATACTATTATGTATACTCTCCAAGCATTTCAGCAGCCTCATGGCATGTTTTCTAGAGGGAATCCACAAGGTGGAAAGGCCTGCATGCAACGTTTGAGCAGTCAGCATTACAGAGCCAGTTCGGCTACAGCAGAAGTGGCTGGAGTCTCTTCTCTCATGCATTTCCATAATTAAGTTAAGAACCTAGTCCAGACTCTGTCTTCAGTTACATCAGGGTCTTATAGTCCTCCCTTTTGAGGAGGTGAGGTATATATATTAAGGTTAATCTGAAAAGAAGTAGGCTGTACAAGTATTATTTCCGGCACAATCAAAGCCTGAACATGAAACGCTTAATAAGATTTTGAGATGGCATTTATTTTTTTTTTGGACATGTTCATAATTGCTGCAGAGAGATACCCCACATACAAATTTAGTAAAAAAATGGTTACAAAAGGCAGCGCTCTCTGAATCAGCTAAATTAGCTTTGTAGTTAGAATGAAATAAGTCAAAACATATTTCTGGTTACTAAAGCAATTAGGTATAATTTGGGATAAACACAGAGGGTAAAATTCTGTTCCAAAATGTGCTGGTCTAAACACAGACTAATGGCATTAGTGTAATTAAACACAGGGCACATACTCTTAAGCAGGAAAGAGCACATGACTGCATTTTTCAGAGGGGGATTACCGATTAAAGGACCATCATTCCACATTTTTGTACAAAGGGGTACTGACTCCTGAGACAGTGATACAAAGTTTCAGAAAGAGCCTGTATTGCCTCTTGTCTTGAAGGCACTAACAGAATTTTTTTGAGAAATAAAGACCTACTGGTTCACCTATGGGCCCAGGTGGTCCAAGAACTGTATTGTCTTCACCTGGGTAACCCTAAAACAAAGATAAGTATTAAAAATATTAATTTGGAAATTTAACCTCGTCTACAATGCATACATGTTCAAATGCTAATAAACACCCAGAGAGCATGCTGCTGTGTAGATGCTAGAAGTGAATATGGTTTTATGGTTTTAACACAGTGGAAATGGTAACTCCATTTCAACATGCACCTAAATGTCCCAGAGACAAACCTAAGTATTTACTCTATTCTCAAAGGCAACTATAAAAAAAAAAGTATTTGAACAATGTCCATGTAATCATTTCTTTATTTAATGAAAAAAAGGATAAACAGGATATTTGACAAGAGGAAAAAAGAAAATTTCTTCCACTGTTTTGAGAAATATACTTAATATAGACAAACAAGTGTACAGAAGATTCCAACAATCAGCCTGAACTCTATTAAATTTTAAATATGAAACAACAGCCATCCAAACTAACAGACAAAAAGTTATCTATTCCAGATGCTATTCACCAATATTTAATGCAGAGAGGCTCACATTTTAAATATGATTAAGGGTTTCCAAAGTGCATCAAAGTGCTTTTTCAGAAGTGACCAAGCAAGCTAGACATCTAGCTCCCAACAATTTAGTTTTCAGTTATTGTTTCTGAAAATTGTATCAGAACCGATGTATAACATCATCACTAATTGCCTATTAGCAGTATTCACTGCAAAACTGGCCCTAATGTGAGAACATATTTCTCTGTCAGGTGCAACTCCAAACTAATCTTCATGAAGGGAATCCCTGTACCTGCTTGGGGCCACACAGACTTCAGTCAGCATACAAATCTGTTTGCAGAATTTGAGGCTTAAAAGAAAAACAGTGAATTTGACACTAAAATAGCAGCACTAGATCCTGCCCCTAACAATTTATATTAAGCATAGACCTTTGTCCGTCTTAGTTGGACTTGCAGCAAAATCTGTGGGTATGGTCACAGGCTTAAAGCTAAGTAAATACTTAACCGATTCCACACTGATTATTTCTGTCAGCAGTGCTCACTAAGGACAGTGGTGCTATCTGATACAATACAACGTGTTTCTTACAGTGGATACCTTGTGTTTTAAAACCTGAAACATTTAAACTGTGTAATTCGGAACTCTGCCTCTGAATGATCCATTTCCCCAGTTTTGCATTTCTTTTCACATTCTCTCACAATCCTAATAAATATTGCAAACGGTGGCTTTTGCTGCATGCTGTGGAAAACAGTGAGCACAGTAACACTGTAACAGAAAACAGTAACATTTCCTCCCTTTATAATTACTCAAACTGCAAGACAGTATAATCCATCTTCAGACCTTTTCTCCTTTGAGTCCTGGGGGCCCTGGGGGTCCTGGAGGACCCTGGTGACCCTAAAGAACCAAACAAACCAAAAATTAGTTCCAAAACAAATAATTAAAGAAATAATTAATTCCAAGCTTTCTTTTAGCTGCTTGTTACTATTATTTTTTTGCTGCTTGCTAATAATGCTAAATAGTGATATGGCACAAAATTAATGGGCCCAGGCAGAAAAGCTCTGTACACAGTGGGAAGCCAAAGGTTCTGGCAGGAGTTGATGCAGGTGAGAGGAGCCAGGCTGGTTCTTGCTTCAGGGTTAGGGCCACTGATGGACGTTACTGTTCGGAAAAGACATGGCAGTCTGGTCTGTAAGAGCAGGACTCGATCCATCTGTGATGATGATCATAATTATTTTTCAGTGAAACTCACAATATCTTTATGTCCTTCAACTAACCTCATTCAATTAGTGTTTCTGTTACTGAAACGGAAACTGCCTGACCAGACAGTAAGCAGAAGTGGTGGTGTTTGCCAAACTCTCTTTATAATGAATAGCTGTAGTAGTTTTATAGAAACTTTATTCACAAAGAGTGGGACACATTGGACAAACAAGGGTTTCAAATCTGTGGTAAAAAACAACTGCTAGTGAACTCACAAAAAACCAGTCATCATTGCTTAAGGCTAACATTTCTGAGTAGCAATCAGGTGTCATAAATATATGTGAATATCTGCCACTTCTAAAGATATTTGTGTATTCTAGATACAGATCCCCAAGATATTTGAAATTATTTAGATTACCACAGACTTACCTTAGGGATGTGTGTGTACATGAATTCAGTAAAAAACTCACCCCATAACCTGGAATTCCTGACTCTCCTTCAGGTCCCATTCCTCCTACATGTCCCTGTTAAATGCAATAATCAGTGATAGAAAAATGAGCTCCCTTGTAAAATGTTACAACAAAGTATACTTTATAAAGTTACAACTTGGAAAAATCAAATATTGAGATTTGAGAACTACAGACAACTTCTTTGTTAGGTCTAACTTCATTTGGTAAAGAATACTAGGCTTTCCCCTGTTCTGTGGAAACAATGGTCAACATTTTCAGTCCTAACCTTATAATCCCTGTGCATAATTAAGATCAAAAGGATCTGAGCTTTCAGAGGTGCGGAGGAATTCTGTTTATAAATGCTAAGTATGCCAAGAGAAGCTGAGGGTTGTCTTCACCTTAGGAAGTTCAGTTCAAGTCCTTCTCTTGAAAATATTGGCCATTAGATAGCTACTTTACTTCTGTACTTCGTGTGTTCAGGGACACAGTGCTGCATTCAGTGGCCACAGGATTGGGCCCTGGAGCAGTGAGATGGGTACATTGGCTCACTAGTGTGGAGGCTGCATGTACCTGTGCATCTATCACACAGTGTGGAGCAAACATGGGGAGCTTGTGATGAGAAAAGCTCATAAAATTAATGGAAATACACTTAATTCAGTTAACTTTAGTTCAGGTTCCCATTCAATAGGAGTAGCAGTCCTCATCTGAAATGCTTTGTTTCAGCCATGGCTAAGGCTTATTTTATGTAACAGCAAACCCCATGATTTCTGTTCTTGGAACTGGAGAGGTTTAAGAAACAGCCACAGCAGCGAGGTTATATGTACACTGTGGGGCATGAGTATTCCATGGCACACCCTGCCGTCCCGCTCCTCTGATTGTCACATCAGGAACCTGACCAGAGCATGAGATGACTCCCTCCAGGTCCATGGCCCAGGTTTCTGTCTGGAAAGGTCTTATTCTGATGCTGAAAGACCAGGGCACGCATCGGGACGCACAGGCTGGGAAGGACACTGCCTGCATCTCCAGACAGTGGAGATGCCTGGAGATACCACAAAAAATATTTATACGTGCTACAGCTGTGACTTGCCTCTTCCTGTGGAGAGACACGATTCTGCCAAACCAGAAATAGGTGAGCTCTTAAAAAAGCATGTTTTGTACGAACCAAGGGACCTCGAGTTCCTCTTGCACCTTTAGGACCAATTTCACCAGATTGGCCAGAGTCACCAGCAGGTCCAATTTCTCCAGGAGGGCCAAGCTGCCCCTTTTCCCCCTGTTGGTATTATTGTATTAAAAATAATAAGAGATTGATACTAAGTTTCAAAATGCAGTTTATGCTTATCCAAAGTGTGTAACAGCATTATTTAATAGGATTATTACATTTAGATATGTCATTTACTGTAGTTCTTAGAATGTCTGAACCCAGAACTCTGCAGTGGAAAAAACCTCTGCTAAAGCCTGTCTATTTTTTTTTGTTTTAGCCAAAACTTAACATTTTTTGATAGCAGCAGAAACCGTTCTGAGCTGCAAAATCACATCCTATACAAATTTAAATTTCCTGTGGTCCTGAATGTTATTGACTGCAGAACGATGACAATTCTAATTGCTATAGCTAGCAAGAAAAAGAATTGGCTTAAGTGTGACATAAAACAGGGATAGACTTGGTTCAATGGAATTATTTTGTAATATAAATTCGAGTTTCAGATAAAAGGAAGGGAATTGGGCAAGATGAAAAATACTACCTTCTTTCCTAAACGGCCCCTCTGACCTGGATTTCCTGGTGTTCCTTCAGGACCCTGTACATTTATTAGGGAGAGAAAAAGAAATGATTGAGAAAGGCCCTGGAAACATGTTTAAACTGTGCTCCAAATTGGATAACTGAGCAGGCTTTTGTAATGCAGAGAGGTGGGAGGAAAATTCTCATTAACTGTGGCTGTGAGCAAGTTGGTAGGACTGTTTCAAGTTACAGCAGAAATAAGTGGGCAAGCATCAGGGATCACTTATCAAACTAGTGAAAATGAACTGAAAATAGGGGGGAAAAACCCAATAAATCTTGTCCACACAGAAAATATTACTTTAGGAATAAAATTGCTTCAAGACAACCACCGGATTTAGAGAAATAAATACACAGCCAGAGGAAAACTAAGAAAACCTTGGGGCTGTCAAGTGTGAAGAGCAGGACCTTGATACAATGTGCCGCAGAGCAGAGACCTAACTCAGTAAGTGCTGGTGCCTACCACTGCCTGCCTCTTGGTGGGTGTGCTGCCTGCAGATGAAGGGTGCTACGGAGATACAGCCCTGCTGCTCCCTAGGTCACTCCAAAATCTGATCCTCCAAAAGGTCTGGATGTGCCCACCGCTCACCAGCTTCAATTTATGCAAAAGCTCTGTGAGGTAGAGGAGGTAACTGAGCTTCAGTTTTGGGTAAAGGGAGATATATTTGGGGTTTTTTGAGTCATTGTGGTGATAAGTCAGGGTAAATACAGTTTAAACTGATTTGTAAAGCTGTGTTGCTTTGTAAGCTTTTGTTTAAGGACAATGTAATATTACTCTCTCCCCCAATAAAACGCTCAGACAATTGATTATAGGAAACTGATTGCAATGTTTAGACCCGGATGTTGTGATCTGTCCACATCCCTAGAAGGAGGTCAAACCAAAACCATGATGTGAACACTCCCAGATGCCAGGGAGGATGAGTGGGAAGAGAGGCAGCTCTGCAGCCACCTTTGGAATGTGTGGAACAGAAACGTGAAAAATCCCCTGCTAACCACATCCTCCCAAACATCAAATTGCCAGACCTGCCTGTTTCACTGAAGCACAGCAGCACTGCTGATGTTGTTTACTGTATACAAGTGTAATTACGTACAATGTAGATATGCCAGGGCTGAGCTGTTTTATGATAATTCAATGTATGAAACTTTCAAGCTTCTCCAGAATTGCCAACCCAAAACAAAAAATAAAGTCAGGGTGATATCATTGTATCAGAAACAAAAATTGTGCTGACAACTAAAAGAATATTTTTTTCCTTCACTAAGAGAGTAGTTCACTGTGAAGAACCCAGGACTAAAGAGAGCCGATTGTAACACTGATGCTTAGAGGACAGAGGGGACAGTGCTCACAGCTGTTGACAGCTGGCCCTCCAACTAATGTTTACTCAGACTCCATCATCACATAAGAGCTACAGTAAAGGCAGCCAGAGGACTGTGAATGAGAACATGATGATTTTTGGTAAGGGAATCTGATATCTGACTTGAGGCTACAAACTTGCTTTGGAAAACGCGCTCCAAAATATTAGTTCACATTAAGAAGTTGCATAAAACTTCAGCAAAATAGATTTTATAGATGAATTTTAGCTGCTAGGAGTGATGCCAGAACAAATACGCGAACTGATCTAACAGTGTTGACTACAGATCCCAGTGCTCGTTTGCTATTTGACCTGTGTATGCTTGCTGCCATTTCTCTCTATCTGCAATCTCTGTTTCAGTTGTCTATGGCAACTGGTGCTCTCATGATATGTTTATTTAATTCCTTTCACACAGGCACCAAAATGAAGTTAGTTAAAGAATAAATGTCTTTTAAGAACAAAATGGAATAATGAAATTCTTTCTTCTCTCTCCTTACTTTATATAGTATATGCCTCATTACAGGGTGATTGACAAGGTAAGAAGAGAAGGTCCACCAAAGACATGACATCACACCACAGCACAGAATTATCATTCGAAGCAGCGCTGCCTGGCATGATAGACCCTCATTTCTGGAAGTCAATTTCAGCGCAGGAGGGACAGCATTCGTAACATTGTCTTTAGAACACCTTGGCAGCAGTGTAGAAAGACCACTGTTAGGAAAGGCAGGCCATGCTCTGTTTTTAGCAGGAATAATTTGGATTATCCGATATCTATCATGTGATAATGGTTTTAAGTCACTGTTGACCTGCCTTGTATTCTTTACCAGAGAAGGCGCTATAATCCACACCAACACTTTAAGAAACCCTGTGCTGTTGGTGTCTGTGCTGCAATAATTTTGTAACTAAAGAAACCCTCAATGTTCAGGATACCACTTTTTCTAGAAATGTTATTTTCAGACCTTCCTTTTGTTGTTAAGGTTTATTAAAAGGAATGACAGCTGAGCATGTATGTGGTAAGAACATTAGCACAAAATCTTAAATTGGAGCCAAATCTTGTGTGCTCTAAGGTCTAACACTTCATCATTTACAAGCTGCTCAAAATGGCAGTTTTTTGCCCCAAGGCACTTTTAATCTAAACTAAAAACTAGATAG